TAACTTTCTTAACTGCCTGAGTCTGCAAAATGGGGCTGAAAGGGAGCTTGCCTGTGAAAACTCTGATACTCCCTACTTTTGATCACAGTGGAAATAATCTAAGAGCAGATTTTTCAAGGAGAAATACATCGTTTCTTCTTCTAGGTGTCAAAAGGCCACAAGCTAATGAAAAAGAATGAAAAGGATACCATTAATATCTACTGCTTCTGCAACACTTTTCATCCAAGGATCTCAAAGCAAGGGGTGACGGATAGCCATTATTAACCCCACTTTACAGGGGAAATAACAAAGTCTTAGCAAGGTTAAGTAACTTGCCCAAAGCAACACAGCAAGTCAGTGGTAAGACACGGATAAAAAATAAAGCCCTGCCCTCCTGGGTGGATTTGTGAAGGGTTTGTCCAGGCTCCTTCAAACCAGCAAGAAGGAAGAGGCTGAAGGGAGATCCAGCCTGCAGTTTCGGGTGCTCAGAACAAATCTCATAGAGGAGCCCAAAAATTGCCTCAGGCCTGGACCCCTTCACTGTAAATGGCTACAGGTAGGGAAAACAAATGTCACCCTCACTGTTTCTAATTGCATTTATTAGCCCGTCCCTAGCAATGGGGCAGAGGCGTTTTACCGGGAATAGGTTGTTGAAGCTGAAGCAGAAGTGGTAAATCACATAGGGTCTGTGGTTTCTGTCCAGAAACCTTTCCTTTGGTTTCTGACTAATGCCCCACAGATTTCGGGTGAAATCCATTTTGAACTAGTAAGTTTTAAATGGTTTTCATGGTAAAAGGCTTCTGATGCAACGCAAGCTCTATCCTTTCCCTCTGCAGGAGCTGCAGGTGGGAAGGGCCAGCGCCAGGCCAGTGGCACCCCTTCAGTGTTGGGGGCACCCTCCACTCCCTCCCAGCAGGTCGCTGGCCACATTTATTCCACAGGATGGTGAACCCAACCCCTGGCCTGCACAACCCTCACAAACCTAGGTGGTCAGGTTTTGAAGCAATTTATTTCGGACTGACTTGCATGGTTTTCCTCGGTAGTGTTTTACTCCAGCTGCTTCTCTAAATAAGTTCCTTTTCATTCATGATAATGCAATAAAGCACTTGATTTTCAGCAGGGAATGGTGTCACCACTTTTACACTAATAAGGAAGAAAAAAAAAAAATCTTTCAATCAATCAGGGTCTATTTAACACATTAGCAATTTTCCTTCATTTTTCTATCATCCTGCATTAACAGCTGTGGGGTCAAATCCAGCCCTGGTGTAATTCCAAAGAAGTAACACTAGGAATGAGCTTCACCCATTATCTCTAATGTTGCTAAAAAGGTCTTGATAATAGATTTTTTAAGTTCTTGATTCTGAATACTAATCAAGTCCTTTAAAAAGAGGACTTGAGTGGGATGCTACTAAAACAAATATGCTCTGGTATTTTACGCTACATCTTTCTGTTTTGTTGCTCATTTCTGTGCAAACAAATGAGTTTCAGGAAGACACTTTCTGCCACGAGATTTATTCTTGAGCAGCACGTGGGTCATCCATCTCCTACCCATGTGCCCTCCATGTGCCCTACCCATGTGCCTCCCACAGCTGCCCAAGAGCCAGCCCATAGGACGTCCAGCCACATGTAGGTTGTCCTGGCCAAGGGTCCTCCTTCCCAGGCCAGTTTCCCCCCAGCACACTCCCTGCCACAGCTCACCAACAGCACCCTGTGACCCGCACACCCAGAAACTCCAGCTCAGCAGCTCCATGCCACCTCTGTTTGATGTTCCCAGTGGGCGCCAACTACCTCCATGGAGACATCACAACGCAGGCACAAAGTAAACGCAGTATCATGTTCTACCTCCTGTATTTTGCCCCTCAGATGTGGGCTTTGCATTACTCCTGTGGTGCATCAGCCAGTGCTCACATGCACTCTCTTGCTGGGAGACTCTGGGGCTGCACCACCACCTCAACCTCTCCTTTCTAGCACAGCTTTCCCTTTTACCACCCTCTGCTAGCGTCAGACCCCTCTTTCCCTCCTGCTTGGCCTGCCTGGCCACGTCCCCCCACCACATAGTCCCTGCCATCACCCTGAGGGCAAGCAGGGGGGCACCAAAAGCCATTTTGAACCAGGGAGGAATCACCCCGCACATGAATGTCCTGGTGGCTCCACATTGCACCTGAATACCCAAGGAAAGAGTCACTAACTCAAACTGTAGGTACAGTAAGCCCTGCCCATGGGTCCCTACCTGCAGCCCATGGGGTGCACTCGTCTTCCTGAAAGCAGGGTCACCCTGTAGCATGAAGCAAATGGAAGCCCTGACCTTCACAGCCAGCACAGTCTCAGAAGATGTGTTCCCCCAGGGGTTATCCTGGCTGGCTGGTGGATGCAAAACATCTGAGAGCTGAGTTTTGCTTTGAGTTGGGGGCTAGCTCAGGAATACACATGGCAAGTTTTGCTTGTTTTTCAGGGGGGAACTCTGAAAGTGACTGAGCTTTGCCTCATGTGGGCATCTAAATGTCACTACTGCTGGTGGCTGCTACTAAAACCAAGAGGAATTAGAGCTCAGTCTTCATAAAGTAGTGACTTTGGTGGGGTTTCAGGCCTCCCCAAGGGAGATCAGGCTTATGCAGGGGTCTTAGATGGATGCTGTTTGGATGCTGATGACATTCACATGGGCCAGGGGCTGCTTCCATGGCTTTTCTCACATCCCTGGCCATACGTTAGTCCGGTCCATCTCACTCTTTCCCCAGTCCTTGAGTGTCAGCTTTTTCCAGTGAAAAAGCTATTTCAAACCTGGGATACTACAAGTGTTGTCTGGAGAAGAAATAAACTGACCTTCAGAATCCCCAAATAAATAGGAGTGAAAATGTCACATGCTGCTATTTTATCATCCATACTCCCCCCTGGCTTGTAACAGCAAAAACCATGTGAGGAAGTTCTCGTTCTCCTCCTGAGCAAGGGCAGGCTCTCACCCTGTGAAACACTGCTAAACTCTTAGATGACTCTTTGGTCAGAAAAGAAACAAGAAGGGTGAGGTAAATAACAGGAGCTCTTCCTTGGGGAGCTCATGTCCTGATCTTTCCACTTGTTGGAGAGTCGTCCACCAGGATTAATACAGCAAACCCCAAACAGCTCAGGTGTTCAGATAATCCTTCAGCCAGCGAGGAATTACATCCATGGGAGATGTTTAGCGTATCGAGAAATCCTTAAGTACCTAAACATGAATTTATTTGCCTGGAGTTCTTACAGAATAACAACACCCAAAGTGCTAACACGTCAGTAGGTATTTTCCTGAAGCCTGCTGCCTAGGGAAAAAGAAAACAACCCTGCATACTAAATTGTATCCGTGTCACATCCCAGGCTCACAATCACCGACTCCATCTCTCAACGGGCAAACCGCGCGTCCCCGAGCACACGGCCAAGTGGGGCCACACCAGGCACCACACTGAGACCCCACACCTCCTCCCCACTGTGTGGGCCACCCCAGGCACCACACCGAGACCCCACACCTCCTCCCCACTCTGTGGGCCACACCACGCACCACACCGAGACCCCACACCTCCTCCCCACTCTGTGGGCCACACCACGCACCACACCGAGACCCCACACCTCCTCCCCACTCTGTGGGCCACACCACGCACCACACCGAGACCCCACACCTCCTCCCCACTCTGTGGGCCACACCACGCACCACACCGAGACCCCACACCTCCTCCCCACTCTGTGGGCCACACCACGCACCACACCGAGACCCCACACCTCCTCCCCACTCTGTGGGCCACACCACGCACCACACCGAGACCCCACACCTCCTCCCCACTCTGTGGGCCACACCACGCACCACACCGAGACCCCACACCTCCTCCCCACTCTGTGGGCCACACCACGCACCACACCGAGACCCCACACCTCCTCCCCACTCTGTGGGCCACACCACGCACCACACCGAGACCCCACACCTCCTCCCCACTCTGTGGGCCACACCACGCACCACACGGAGACCCCACACCTCCTCCCCGTCGTATGGGCCACACCAGGCACCACACCGAGACCCCATACCTCCTCCCCACTGTGTGGGCCACACCACCATCACACCGAGACCCCACACCTCCTCCCCACTCTGTGGGCCACACCACGCACCACACCGAGACCCCACACCTCCTCCCCACTCTGTGGGCCACACCACCCTCACACTGAGACCCCACACCTCCTCCCCACATCTCTGCCAGGCATCCAGCACTGGAGACCAGCCTGGGCTTTCCTACCCGGCGATGCCTCCCTATTTACGGCTGGCAGAACCCTGCCCTTGACCCCATCCCTGCCAGCCCATGCAGTGAGACTGGCCTGCCATTCCAAACCCTCTGACTTGGCAGGAGCTGCCGGCTGGCCCTGGGATGGGGTCCCGTTCCCTGCCCCGGCATGGGGTCCCATTCCCTGCCACCTTACCCCGCCACCAGCACCGTCCCACTCCCCACTGCCACCTCGCAGTCTCTCCCTCCGCTGGGGAGAATCAGGGAGCAGCTGGGAGGTAAGGGGTTAAATCACAGCGGTTCTTTAACACAGCACAGAGAGGAAGCTCCAAAGCCAGCCATTTCTGCCCTCTCACTGTCACACAACACGCCCAGCCAAAAGTTGCGAGTTACAGAGTCATGCTCTCCCTTCTAAAACCTGGTTGTTAGGGTTTGGCGGGGAAAGAGGGAAGGCAGCATAAGTCATCAACATTTTTTTTTCAGCATCACCACGCAGGAGTTCACTGCAAAGCACAAGCTAATACATACATCTAGTGAACAGCAAGCCTGTATTTTATTTAAGGTCTGTTGGATATTTCGGGGAAGAAGATGAAAGATCGTGTTATTCTGCAGGAGCAGTTTCCTTGGGAAAGTATACCCAGACATTTGATCCCAGGAATATTTATAGTTAGTATAACTCAAATGGTGTTTGTTGTGCATGCAGTTGGTTAGTCTATAGTGGAGCATCATGCAGCTTGCATTAAAGTTGGCACAGGCACTTTATGGAGAAACAGACTTTATGCTTACAATTATCCCAGCCCAATATGGAGTGTCTCTGACTAGCAGAGAAGAACTGATCCCTGCCATAAGGAAGCCCAGCACTGTTACAGAGGTGCCTAATGCCAGCTGCAACAAAGCGAACAGCAGCGGGAAACGGCAGCAACAACAAGTGTGGGATTCCTCCTCCTGGCCAGTTTTGGGATCCCCCTTGGTTTTCTTCTCTTTCTTCTTCTTCTTCGTCGCAGACTCCTGCATCTTGCTCGAGCCGGTGCTTTTCTCTCCTTCGGGTGCCTTCCCTGTCTGGCTCTGGTTATTCAGGGACGTGCTGTGTTGGGGTTTCTTCTCCTCCTCCTTTCCCATGCCGATGAACTTTAGGTTTTCACGTGCGTGTGTGTGTGCGTGTGCTGACGGGGGCGGGAGTTCTTTTGCCCCCCAAAGCTTTGCTTTGTGCCGGCTGAGCCGTTCCTGGTATTTGAATCAAGGAGGCTGAACAAATATGGAAAACATTTGGAGCAGATTGTCAGAGCTTCAAAATGCCACATATAGCCCAGAGAAGAGGGGGGGGGTTCAAGGGGGGTAGCGAACTGCCAACGTGCAGGCGCCGGCTCTGCGCAGGGGCTGGCTGAGCACGCGTGCCGCCACGGCTACGGAGGTGTGAGCACACACGTGTGTGCACGCAGCCGGAGGGACAAACAGCAGGCAGGAAGCCTGCACAGTCAGGTGAGGAATGGGAGGGAAATCTCTCTCGCCAGGGAGCCATCAGGTGCCCGTGTCTGTGTGCGCCGAGCAGGCGGGTGGGAGCTCGTCACGCCGTGGCTCCCCGGGGATTGCTGGCACGCAGAGAGGAACTCGGTGAACCCACGCAGCACCACCGTGCACACTCAGGGCACGTTTCCTACACCGGCTGAATCAGAGTCAATAGGTGCAATTTCAGTGGGAGGGAGCTGATGATGTGTACGGAGAGTATGAAATTAACGTAAATAAAAATTCAAAGTAATATCCTGGGGAGCCAAAAGGAATCCTGTCTCTTCCCAAAAAGTCACAAAAGCACAGCTAGGCATGTTTTATGATGAGGCAGACAGGGACCAGCCGTGAGGACTGGTGCTTCTGTGCAGGTATTGATGGAGCTGAGCACAGAATCATAGAATCATAGAATCATAGAATGGTTTGGGTTGGAAGGGACCTCAAAGATCATGGAGTTCCAACCCCCCTGCCCTGGGCAGGGACACCTCCCACCAGAGCAGGTTGCTCAAGGCCCCATCCAGCCTGGCCTTGAACCCCTCCAGGGATGGGGCAGCCACAACTTCCCTGGGCAACCTGTTCCAGTGTCTCACCACCCTCATAATAAAAAAATTCTTCCTGGTATCTAATCTGAATCTTTTTTCTTCCAATTTAAAATCATTTCCCCTTGTCCTATCATTACCCTTCCTGTCAAAGAGTCCTTCTCCAGCTCTTCTATAGGCACCCTTCAGGTATTGAAAGGCCGCTATAAGGTCTCCCCGGAGCCTTCTCTTCTCCAGGCTGAACAAGCCCAGCTCCCTCAGCCTGTCTTCATAGGAGAGGTGCTCCATCCTGCTGAGTTAATTTCCAGGGCTGTTAAGTTATCCATAGCAGGAAGATTGTTTATGCTACCCAAAAGAGAGAGGGATGTCTTACTGTGGACGTGTGGTCACTGCTCTTTGTCCATGTGTTGGCTCATGCTGGTGCTTGGGGACAGCACACCAATAGGAGTGGTGGGGTTTTTTCCTGGAATACTTAGAATCACAGAATCACAGAATCTTCTAGGTTGGAAGGGACCTTAAAGATCATCTTGTCCAACCGTCAACCTAACTGACAAAAACAGACACCCGCACAACAAACAAGGAGCATCATCACTAAACCATACCTCCCAGCACTACATCAACCTGTCTTTTGAACACCTCCAGGGATGGTGCCTCAACCACCTCCCTGGGCAGCCCATTCCAATGGCTGATAACCCTTTCAGTGAAAAATGTTTTCCTAATATCCAGCCTGAACCTCCCCTGGCGCAACTTGAGGCCATTTCCTCTCATCCTGTCGCCTGTGACTTGAGAAAAGAGACCGACCCCCATCTCTCTACACCCTCCTTTCAGGAGGACTTAAAATTGTTCTGCAGCTGAAACCAGTGCTGGGTGCCCAGGCAAAACCTCTCAGATGTTGGCAGGGCTCGGGGTTCTGCAGAATTACATGAGGAATATCAGGTGTGTGAATAGGAGGGCACAGGAAGAGGGGAGTGGGGAACAGCCCCACGCTGCAGGCAGGGCTGTCAGCTCTGTGGGGCCACCAGGAGTGTGTCCTCACCAGGGGATCACTCAAAAGCTTTGGGGTAAGCAGGTGCTCACACACAGTGCGTGCAGCCTGAGGCACTGCCCTCCTAAGAGCCAGGAGCTCCATCGGGGCCAGCAGAGCACCAAAAGCCCTGTCCCTGCGGGCAGCCCCATGTCCCCACCGTCACAGCGACGCTGTGAGAACACAGGGACTTGTGCTGCTGCTCCACCAACAGCCACGGGAGCAGCATAAATGGGCCAGTCAACTCCATCCCCGCCGTTTGGTTATGTATTTTTTTGCTTTCCTTCTCACAGAGGAGTCAATTTGAGCAAATGACAGGAACAAAATGATGGGAGGAGCGGGGCAGGAGGGGAAGAAGCCATAAGATGTTGGGGAAATCATCAGTAAAGCTGCCTTTGAATGCTGCACAGCAGTTCAGGAAGGAATAGCTGAAATGTTAAAGCACGTGGAGAGGTTCTTACACATGCTGAGATAGCATCAAGGAAATCTTTCCTTTGACATATTGGCAATACCTTCTGAGAAACTGCTCTATTTCCAGCTCTTTATGGCATTTAACAGCAATGAACTGTGTCTTCTGTATTAATAAATTATGATGTCACTTTGTTTTATGGGTTAAGCAATATCCTCTTTGGTTATTTATATTACTGAATGTATGAAAGAAAACTAGAAACAAAGCGATTTCAGACATTTTCTGCACACATAATGCTCATGCTACACACATAGAGAAAGATTAAGATATATTTTTCAAAAAAGGAAAAGAAACTAGAAGTGGAAAAAAAAAGAGAAAACCCTCTTCCCTAGTCATATTGTTTGCTGTACCATGTTTTCATAGCTCCCTACCAAGACGTTTTGTCACCATAATATAGTTTTTAAAATATCCTTATGATAGCTTGCACTCACTGGTGTGCCTTCCCTCTCGATCTCAAAGCCTCATACAATTATATTTAACCACACCTTTGAGAGGGGATGGGGTGTTCAAGGAACATCACCAAGGTCAGATAGGGAAGCAGTGGCAAAGCTGAGAACACATGTTTTACAGATGCCCAGTTGAACACCTACTTTAATAATAAATGTTAAATGAAGTTTGGTTTTCTTTTCCTTTATGCATCTCCATTTCTTTAGTTCGGTGCCGCAGATCTTTACTGTGGTGTTTCCCCCAGGGAAATCCCAGCACTGTTTTTAGCACCTGGATTTGTGCTAGCAGCTACATTTATGAGCGTTGTCTTCAAAAAGGGGCCAAAATCCACCTGCTTTATTCATGCTAACAGTCATGTTGGTTTCAGGAGGAGTAATTGCCTGAAGAAAATAAAAAGGATTTAACCCAAGGCCAATCAAATGAACAAGCACCTACCTTACAGCCAATATCAGCCCTTGCTGATCTCCTGGCCCAAGAATCTCTCTTAAACCAGGTGTCTGCATAGTAAGTATCTCAAAAATGAGGCCACACTCCACAGGCAGCAGGTTGAATATCTCCTACAGGGTATAGGTGGGAAATCCACTTGGGTCCCAGCCTCCTGCAACCCCTTCGAAAATCCCAGCTGCATGGCTGGTGTCCAGAGTCCTTAAGGCAGGAGAAGTCTAAGTCAGTTCAGGGGACATCTTCTGTACAGCAACCAAAAGGTTTGGGTATGAAACTATGAAACATTGCCAACATAGACCAGAGTTCACCTTCTCACAACCGTTGGATGCAGAGTAACCACTCCACTTGGTTTCTCCAAGGAAACTAGAGACCTAAGTTGCCATCAGCACCGGTCACACTGAGACAGGGACCCTCTCATGGGCTGGGTACAACATGCCTACTCAGGGAGGCACCATCCCCGTGGTGAAGGGCAGCAGGACCTACAGGAAAGACATTGAAGTGCTGGAGCATGTCCAGAGGAGAGCCACCAAGCTGGTGAGGGGTCTGGAGAACAAGTCCTATGAGGAGAGGCTGAGGGAACTGGGCATGTTTAGTTTGGAGAAGAGGAGGCTGAGGGGAGACCTCATTGCCCTCTACAACTCCCTGAAAGGAGGGTGGAGAGAGGCAGGTGTTGGCCTCTTCTCCCAAAGGACGAACGACAAGACCAGAGGAAATGGTCTGAAGCTGCGGCAGGGGAGATTTAGATTAGATATTAGAAAGAATTACTTTACTGAGAGGGTGGTCAGGGACTGGAACAGCCTGTCCAGGGAGGTGGTGGAGTCACCATCCCTGGAGCTATTTAAGAAACGTGTAGATGTGGCACTTCAGGGCATGCTCTAGTGCCCAAGGTTATTGGTTTATGGCGAGGTGTTCAGTGTGGGGTTTAGTTGGTGGGTGCGGTGTTTTTGGTGGGCCTTTGGTGTGGTGTGTTTTTGGGGGTTGTTTTATTTTTGGGGTTTTTTTGTGGTTGGACTCGATGATCTCAGAGGTCCCTTCCAACCACTAAGATTCTGTGATTCTGTGATTCTGTGATTCTGTGACCTGGCCTGGCAGTTGTTGCTTTCAGCCACCTTCTTTGCTGCTCCTGCTCTTTGCATGGTTATTTGAGTAAAGGTAGTGATCAGAGGACAGCTCACCTGCTTTTATCAGGACAACTTCAGGACCTTGATGGATGCTAACCAGTTGCTAAGAAAGACAATCACTTGTAATTTAAAAAAAAAAAAAAAGGCATGTTGCATACTTAAAATCCTATACACCATATCTAATCTCTGCAGCAACACACAGAGAAAAATTAGGGGTCAAATACACTGAAAAATTTGGGGATGGAGACGTTGTTTTGAAATTATTAAGCACTTGTGTACAAGAGTTTTTCCCTCTGCTGTGGCTAGCTTTCCCTGCAAAGTCAAACCTGCATATCTTATATGCTGGGAAGTTTAATGGGGATGGAGAAAAGAGGCGGATGCAGGATTGATCTTCCATAATTATTATCCGAACCAGATTGTATTTGCTGATTCCACTTGGCATTAACAATTGAGTGTAAAACAGCTGTGAAAGTATTCACAGCACTGGCGAGCAATGAGAAATTAAAAGAATTACTTTTTTAGAAATTGAAAGATTAAATGAGGACACTGAAATAACACCAAATTTTCTCAAGTAATACATCTTCCGGCTGTCACTTGGATTTTCTCGGCAACACAAGAATAATCATTACCCTTTTATGCCCAAAGGCCCTGATTAAGTATGTTCTTAAATTAAGCACACGCTTGAATACCCTTCCTGGATGAGGATGCTTTTTGATTCGAG